GGGCCCAGAGCTGCCCTGGGGGACATTCTGGCTGAGGGCAGTCACTCTCGACCCCACAGCCCCTCGCCCCGACCCCTGCCATCGAGTGGGGCCGCCCAGCCCAGGCTCCTGCCGTCCAGCCTRTGCCCGTCTTGGACATGGTCCCTCCTGTCCTTGGCCACTCCTGCCTTTGCTAGAGTCCGGGGCTGGTCACGGTCCCCCACCGCTGTCCCCTGCTGTCCCACAGCCACAGGGAGAGGAAGCGGGCAGCAGTGGTCCCTGGAGGCCCTGGTGGGACTCCCCAGAGGTCAGGGGGCACAGGGGCCCCGTGGCACTGGTGGTGGGGGACGTCCCCTTGGCCCCTGTCCTGTGGGGACCTGAGCGCTCACTCCTGAGCCCCTTCCTCACTCGGGGACACCGTGGGGCATGGCGTCCTTTGCTAAGGAGAGCCACTGGTCACTGTGGAYGGTGACCGCCCGGTGCCTCCCTCAGGTGGCGGTCCCCGCTGCTCTGGGGGCCATCTCCGGTCCCCCCGCTGGCCCACTATGCTGCTGGGGACCCTGGTCCTGGGGTGCACCTGCCGGGACAGGGAGGAGGTGACATGACTGCGCCAGCTTCCAGGACTCGGGGACCCAGTCGCCGTTCACCGTGAACTGACCCTGGGGCTGGTGGCTCGTGTGGCTTTTGGTGGCTTCTCTGGCCGCTCAGGTGGCAGTGGCTTCCCTCCATCTTCCCGAGACCCAGACACATCCCCCGCCGCTGGCCTCGTGTCCTCGATGTGGGGAGGGCCACCGGGTCCCTGGTGGCGCAGGGCCTCAGGTCCAGCCAGGCCTGTGAYGGGGAAGCGTCCTCGGGCCACCTCCCTGCGCCTGGGCGTCCGTCCTTGGGGGAATCTCTGGGAAGGGCCCCGCACCCGGAGCCTCCTCTGAGAGCGTGGGGCCGCCCAACTGCCAGAGAACGTTCCAGAAGCTCTAAACTGCCGGGCACCGCCAGGGACCAGGGCTGTCCTGCCCGTGGCTTGAGCTGCGCGTGGCCCGTGTCGTCGGAGATGGTCACTGGGCTGCTGTGGAGGATGCRCATGGGGCCGTGGAGGGACATCTGATGGCGCAGGCTTGGGGACAGAGCTCCGCAGGGGCCTGACCTGGGTGGTGAGGCTCAGGAGGTGGGAGGCCGGGGCCAGGGACCGGGGCAGCTCTGTGCCCCTCCCCAAGTCCACCTCCAGGACCCAAAGCCACTCAGCCCGTGTCCTGGGAACCYGAGTCAAACACGTGTGACCGCCCAGTGAACGCGACTTCTAAGCCGGTTTCCCTGGGTCCTGGAGGTCGAGACCGCTGGGCCTCAGTCCCCGGCCTCCTTATTGATTTTTTTGTTAGGGTCTCACTCAGTTGCTGAGGCTGGCCTCCAATTGGCAATCCTCCTGCCTCTGCCTCCCAAACCTCTGGGATTATAGGCACATACCACGGCCCTCAGCTAGGAAGCCCCCTGGGGATTGAACCCAGGGGCCCTCAACCATGGGGCCACCTCCCCAGCCCCATTTTGTATATTATTTAGGGACAGTTATTTAGGGCCTCACTTTTGCTGAGGCTGGCCTCCAACTTGTGATCCTCCTGCCTCAGCCTCCTGAGCCACTGGATGACAGGCGTGGGCCACTGTGGCCAGCACTTGAGCCTCATTTTAGAGCTCCGAGTCTCTAGGACATCTGCCCCTCTGCCTGGGAGGGAAAGAGTCACAGTTACATGACATTTGGGACAGTCCCCCTCCCCCCCCCAGGAAGAAACGGGCAGAGTGGCCTCCTAATCAGGAGGCAGGAGGAGCCACGTGCAGCCCAGTCTCCGGGARTGAAATCTGGTGACTTCCTGACCAGGGGCCACCAACTAGATGCTAATCGCGACCCCTCCCTCGACTGCCCGGGCTTGTCGGCAGGCGACACTGGCCGTTCTGCTGATCAGCTCTGGTCATCTCTGACGCGGGCTCTGGGAGCGTCGCACTTGGRTGGCTGCTGGGGGCACCGTCAGGAYGTGACGTCGTCCACGTCAGAGAGCGTCCTCCGAGATCCCAGAGGAATTCTTCCCCAGCTCTGAGCCCGGGGCCGTGCGGGTCCCCTGGGTGTCCCCTGTCATGTTGGGACATTTGGATCCTTTTGTGATTAGTTTTCTGCTTTGTTCTCCCTRCAGTTCGGAAAGGCGCCAAGCCCACCCTTGGGGACACCGCGTCCCACCCCTGGGGACACCATCTGCATAGATTTTTTTTTTCTTTTTTGGTACCAGGGATTGAACTCAGGGACACTCGGCCACTGAGCCCTGTCCCCAGCTGTACCTTGTATTTTATTTAGAGACAGGGCCTCACTGAGTTGCTTAGCGCTTCTCTCTAAATTGCTGAGGCTGGCCTCCAACTTGTGATCCTCCTGCCCCAGCCTCCCAAGCCGCTGGGATGAYGCGTGCACCCCTGCGTCTGGCTTCTGCGTACACTTGTGACTAGTCTTGGTGACAGTTGAATGCGGTTGGCGTGGGCTGGGGGTAGGAGGAAAGGGATGCTGCCCAGGGGTYGAGGGGCCGGCTCGGGGTGACCGTCAGAACCTCCCTTCCTGGACAGGATGCTCTTAAGGAGAGCCCTGGTTCTTTCTCCCTAGAACCTTCTGGAACCTGCTGGTCCCCAGCGTCACAGAGCAGGACCTCTGGGCCGCACAGCCCCTAAGTACTTCCACCTCGTATCCCAAAGGGCCCTTCCCAGGCCCCACGCCTCCCTCCAGGGTCGAGGACACCCAGCTCATGTCCTGCCGTGTCCCCGCCACGCAGCCAGGCTGAGGGAGGCTGGCCCCGCGCRGTCCCAGGCTGGGCCTCGGTCCTGAGCCCTGGACTGACTGCTGGTGGCCGCTCGGGGTCACACCCCCTTCCATGAGTTCAGTGCCTCCAAGGGCTTCAGGCTCCGCTCAGGGGCCTGAGGAGACCCGTCCGTCTCTGCAATGCCACTCACTCAGCCTCGGGGACCACCGAGTCCCCTCTCTAGCCTGGGAGCCTGGCTGTGTCTCCCATCAGCCTCGGGCTCAGASACACAGATTTGGCCTCTGACTGAACACAGCAGGGGACGCAGGTGCTGTGATGTGCTAACGGGCTGCATGGACCAGGCCACAGAGTGCGGGCCCCGCTGGGGGCTGGGTCTAGAGGCTGAGCCTGGAGGCTGGGTCTAGAGGCTGGGTCTGGAGGCTGGATCTAGAGGCTGGGCCTGGAGGCTGGGTCTAGAGGCTGGGCCTGGAGGYTGGGTCTGGAGGCCAGGGAGAATGGGCTGGGCTTTGTCCTCCGTCCTCTGAGGAGTACAGGCCTGAGATCAAGAGTGGCGGTTCGCTCCCTCCTGCAGACGGTCAGTAGAGGAACGCGGTTTTGTGACCGGGCACTGGGCAGAGCGTTAGCTGGCCCCATCCCTCCTTTGCACTGGCCCAGAGGAAGCRGTGGGTGCAGGGGAGAGGGGACGGTGGCTCTTCAGAGGTTGGGGATCTCGAAGGGGAGCCACCTTGGTGTCCTTGAGAGGGAACCTGAGGCCTGCAGACGGGGGATGTCCCTGGAGGCCAGAGCCCAGGGCAGGAGCGGACACTCTGTCCCTCTGTGTGAACCCGACAGCGAGAGCTGAGATGGGTCAGCGGCCCTGGCTCAGGGTGGACCTGGCTCCGGGCCAGGCTCCCTCTGCACGGTCTCTGCCGGCCTCCTTCCGGGTCTCGCCCAGGGCCTCCCGGGAGCCGACAGTGGACAGCGGAGTCCCGCAGCCCTGAGGGCAGCAGGAACAGGCGGGCCCGGGTAGACCAGTTGTCCAGCTGTTGAATGCAGGGCGTTCCCACCGCCTGGGTGGCCCTGTGTCCCCTGTCCTCCTGGGGCCACTTCCACTGAGACCTCCACCCTGCCCCAGGGACCAGAGGGGTCTTCAAGTCCCTTCCAGCCCWGGGTTGAGTAATGTCCCGGGCACAGGGTCCCTGGCAGGGGGACAAGAGGTCACACTGGCGAYGTGTGTCCACGTCTCCCTCTGGCCTGTCCCTCGCTGGAAAGCCGTGCACGGGGGACCCAGCGTCTGCACGGAGCGAAAAGTGTTGTGAGTCCCAGAGTCRAGATGAGTCACCTGCAGGCTGTCCCCACCCACTGTCCCCCTGGCTGACCCTGCGCTGCCACCACTGTGCAGAGGTCAGGGGTGTGCTGGACACGAGGGCGTGAGAGGCGGCAGGTCCCGGCGGCCACCCCCGGGCTCTGGCCCACCGCCGGCTCCTGCTCAGTGCTGGTGGCTCGGGCAGGRCCTTCTCCCCGTGGGTGGCCCCTGCCAGCCTTCTTTTAAGGGTTAAAGAAAATGTCTGCAGAACCTGGWGCCCAGTTCCCAGCCCGGACAGTGCCACGGGCCAGGTGCCAGGGACACTGGCATGTCAYGGCTGGAGGCCAGGGGAGGGGGCTTGGGCCCATCTCCTGGGCTCTTGGAGGGCGCCTCCTGTGTCTCCACGTGGCCCCCACCCTGCCCATCTGTGTCCTCATCTCCTCCCCATTACACCAGTGTCCACCCTCATGTCCCCGTTTTGGCTGAATTGCCTGGTGGAGACCTCTCAGGCCGGCTGCGGTGGCCYMCGCCTGTGATCCCAGCTACTTGGGAGGCTGAGGCAGGAGGATCGCACGTTGGAGGCCAGCCTCCGCCACTCAGAGAAGGCCCTGGGGGCGTGTAGAATCCAGGTGGTGACAGAGAGGGACTGAGCGTATTTACTGAGCACCTACTGTGTGCCAGACTGAGTTGCCAGCAGCCCCGGGGCCATACCGCTCGTTGTCCCCGGGGAGCCACTCGCTGGCATTGGTGGCTGCTGGAGAGGGGCAGGTCTGACTGAGGACATGAAGCCCGTGGGTGGCCGGGATCCACAGGATGGCGCTGCTCAGGGTCTCCTCGGGGTCCCTCAGGCGCGTGGGGACGCCATCGTGGGACGGGGAGCGGGCAGCAGGTGCGGGCCAACTGGCGCCCGGGTCCTCGATGCCCGCTCACAGGACACTTCTCTCCCCCTGCAGCGTCGAGGGCGAGGCCCCCAGCAGTGAGCCCGGCACGTCCCTGGACAGCCCGTCGGCCTACCACCAGGGCCCACTAGTGCCCGGGGCCAGCCTCAGCCCRGAGCAGTGCGAGCTCACGCCCGGCGCCTATGGGCTGCACGCGGGGCCGCAGCGCCCACGGAGACCCCGGCTGCAGCACTCCACGTCCATCCTGCGCAAGCAGGCCGAGGAGGACGCCATCAAGCGCTCGCGGTCACTCTCSGAGAGCTATGAGCTGTCCTCAGACCTGCAGGACAAGCAGGTAGGTGGGGTGAAGGCCATCCTCCTTCCCCAGAGGCCAGGACCAAACTCCTGAGAGTGGACACTACGTGCAGACCAGGTGCGCCTGGCCTCCATCCCTGTGGGCTCCACGGGATCAGAGGGACCTTCAAGTCCCTTCCAGCCCAATTTTGCATTTTATTTAGAGACAGGGCCTCACGGAGCTGCTCAGGGCCTTGCTGTTGCTGAGGCTGGCCTCCAACTCACTCACCATCCTCCTGCCTCAGCCTCCCGAGCTACTGGGATGACAGGCGTGGGCCACCACGCCCAGCTAAGAGGCAGCCTCTTGGGGTTGAGGGGGACAGAGGAGTGTCCCTATCCCTGCTAAGATGGTGGGCAGGGTAAGCAAGGCAGCAGGAGGTCCCCTGGGTGTCACAGAGCCCTCCCAGCAGGTGAGTCCCAGCCCTGCAAAAAGGGGTCAGTTTAGTTCTGGAAAGGGCCATAAAATTGGGGGAAAGAGAGTGGCTTGCTGGGCATGGTGGGCACACACCTGTCATCCCAGCGACTTGGAGGCTGAGGCAGGAGGATTGCAAATTGGAGGCCAGCCTCAGCAACTTAGCAAGACCCTAAGCAACTCAGCAACACCCTGTCTCAAAATAAAAAGGTAAAAAGRGCTGGGGACAGGGCTCAGGGGTTAAGACCCCTAGTACCCAAAAAAGAATAGAACTAGAGTAGCTCTGGGTGGTGGCAGCGTCAAATAAGGGGGTGGACGTGAGAACTGGGTATTCCCCAAAGAGGTGACAGCAGCTGCAAAAGTCCCGAGGTACTGAGCTTGGTGTGTGTGAGGAGTGCAAAGGGAACAAGTGGTGCAGAGGCAAGAGACCAGGTGACGTGCACAGGCACAGAGCAGCCCAGGGCCCACTGAGCTTCCTAGCAAGCAAGGTAAAAACGGGAATCGGCAGATGGCGTGAGCACTGCTGGAGGCGAGTGGGTGCCGTATTCCACAAGAGTCTTCATCAGGGGACACGGCACCCGCAGTAGTGACAGGAGCCCCAGGGAGGTTCAATGCGTCCCCTGACCTCTGGCCCTGTACGCCTTCTGGGGCTTTCCTGTCCCTGAGAGGAGAGCCTGGGTGGGTGTCGGGGACTGTCCCCAAGTCTTTGAGAGGTGGCAGTTCTGCTTTGTGGGTGAGCATTCCTCTCGGTTCCTTATTGACRCTGTTCCAGAAGTTTCCCTCAGGGTGAGTGAGAGCCAGAGCCACAGCCCTGGCCACAGGGCCTTCTCTGGCACCATGTGTCCCCTGCGGGCCGGTCACTCCTCCYTGCCCGCCTGGGAGCCCAGGAGGTGGCGTGAGGCCCCTGGGCTGCTGGCTGCTTCCCCAGGTTCCAGGACGCAGACTGACCTGGCGGGTTGGCCTGGCCTGGCCCCGTGTGGCCTGCTTGGTGACTCAGGGCAGRGACTGTGTCTACCTTCTGGAAGTTTCCATCATACACGCTCTTGGGAGGAGAGCTGGGGAAGCAGGTGACCACCTGCCCAGGCTTGGCAGGAGGAGCTGGGGATCCTTGGGCCTTAGGGACCGGAAGGGCTTTCCCAGCGCTTGGCCTCGGGCCTCCAGTGGCCCCAGGATTCGTGGGGTTCATTGGCAACCCCCAGGACGGGGTTCAGCCGGCTCCCGGGGAACAGGTGGTGCTCCTGGGTGGCGTCCAGCAGCTCAGAGCAGGAGAGAAGCTGCCGCCCCTGCCACCCCCCGGGCCCTGATCCCCGGGTCCCGAGCCCGTCCTCTGTCCACCCCCTCCTGCGGCCCAGGACCGCTGGGCTACCTGCCTTTTGGCCCAGCTCTGGTGCAGGCCGCTGGAGCGGAGGGTCCGTCCCTCTGGGCCTCAGTTTGCCCACCTGCGCAGCGGGTGCTGAGGGTTCACAGAGCAGGCTCAGCTGCAGGAGGATCACGAGTTCAAGGCCAGCCTCAGCCACTCAGCTGGGRTCTGGTGTGCCGAGCGCTTTGTACCCACGTCACCCAGGACTCCCAGAGGCCAGGAGGCAGGTCCCACTTTCCAGATGGGGAAACTGAGGAGCCCCGTGGTTCCCCGGGGTAGAGGCAGGGTTACAGCCAGGCACTTGGCCTTGAACCCCAGTGCCCGTCCTCAGTGTTGGGCATGTGCCCCGACCTGCCTCGGGTCCTTGGCCTCCAAGGGACTGGCTTCATCCCTGCCAGCACCTCTAGAGGGGTTTGATCAGGCTGTGCCCTAAGATGTGCCAGGACCCAGGGCATCTGTAACTCAGGCCATTTGGAAACCTCATTGTGGTCTCCCCTGCAGGGCTGCCCATGCCTCCCCTTTGACGTGGTGTGACCCCAGAATCCACAGGCCTCCCCCAGCAGTTGTCTGGAGGCACAGTGAGGCCCTGGCAGGTCACATTCCTATAGAATCAGGAAGAGGCTGGGCGCGGTGGCCCACGCCTGACATCCCAGAGCTGGGGAGGCTGAGGCAGGAGGATCGCAAGGTGGAGGCCAGCCTCAGCCACTTAGGGAGGCCCTGAGCAACTCCACAAGACCCTGTCTCTAAATAAAATAGAAAAAGGGCTGGGGACGGGGCTCAGGGAGGGCYGGGGTGGGCGAGCTGGGGACAGGGCGGCCTCACTCTCTGCTTCCCCCCAGGTGGAGATGCTGGAGCGCAAGTATGGGGGGCGCCTGGTGACCCGCCATGCGGCGCGCACCATCCAGACGGCCTTCCGCCAGTACCAGATGAACAAGAACTTYGAGCGCCTGCGCAGCTCCATGTCCGAGAGCCGCATGTCGCGCCGCATCGTGCTGTCCAACATGAGGATGCAGTTCTCCTTCGAGGGTCCCGAGAAGCTGCACAGCTCCTACTTCGAGGGCAAGCAGGTCTCGGTGACCAACGACGGCACCCCGCTGGGGACCCTGGTGCCCGCCGAGTGCGCGGAGCTGGGGGAGCCGCCCGCCGCGCTGCCGCCCGCGGCCCCCGCCGGCGACTTCGCGGAYGCCATCACGGAGCTGGAGGACGCCTTTTCCCGGCAGGTGAAGTCGCTGGCTGAGTCCATCGACGACGCCCTCAATTGTCGCAGCCTGCACGCCGAGGAGGCGCCCGTGGCCGAGGTGGCCCGCGCCCGCGACAGCGAGCCGCCCCCGGCCTTGCACGGCCTGGACCCCCATAAACTGGACGAGATGACAGCCTCCTACAGCGACGTCACGCTGTACATCGACGAGGAGGAGCTGTCGCCGCCCCTGCCGCTGTCGCAGGCCGGGGACCGACCGTCCAGCGCCGAGTCRGACTCGCGGCTCCGGGCGGGTGGCGCGGCCACGGACTATTGGGCGCTGGCGACGCCCGAGGAGCGCGCGGACGCGGATGCGGGTGGCACGGCGTCCCTGGAGCGGCCCGAGCCGCGGCTGCGCGCCGGGCGCCTGCCCCTGCTGACCATCGAGCCGCCCAGCGACAGCTCGGCCGACCTCAGCGACCGCTCGGAGCGAGGCTCGCTGCAGAGGTCGGGCGCCTACGAGCGCGGCCGGGTCGGGCCGCAGGGCAGCCCCAAGCGCATGGCGCACGGCGTCAAGGGGACCCGCGATGAGCCAGAGCCCCGGGCCCGGCCGCCGCGGCCCTTGGAGGGCCACCTGGCCATCAACGGCTCTGCCAACCGGCAGAGCAAGTCGGAGTCGGACTACTCGGACGGCGACAACGACAGCATCAACAGCACGTCCAACTCCAACGACACCATCCACTGCAGCTCCGAGTCGTCGTCGCGCGACAGCCTGCGGGAGCAGGCTCTGAGCAAGCCCACCTACCACAAGGAGGCRCGCCACAGCTGGGACTCGCCCGCCTTCAGCCACGACGTGGTGCGCAAGAGGCACTACCGCATCGGCCTCAACCTCTTCAACAAGTGAGGCCCGCGGGGGCGGGGACAGGGCCCGGGGATGGCGCGGAGGGGGAGGGCACGGGGCTGGGGCATGGCAGGGAGCGGGAGGGCACGGGCAGCCACCCACGGGGGTCTGGCTCTGCTGGGGGACAGCGGGCGCGGGGGCACGGGCAGCCTGGCCTCCGGGAGGCTGAGTGGAGGGAGGCTGTTCCTAGCAGGGCCGCCACAGGATCTCCTGAAACCTCAGCTTAAGTCATTTCCATCCCTCTCACCTCTGGGGTGGGGGTCATCAGATGTCATTATGTGTGGCTTCCCTGGGGCTGTGGATGTGGACATGACATGACTGCCCCATCTGGGGACATCAGAGACCTGTCCCCCCATGGGTCCTTAAGGACCTGAGTCTTTTCTGTCCATCTCTAACTTTCCTGCCTTTCTGGGTAGCTCATATCTCATCAGATGGACCCATGGGAAGTATCCAAAGGACATCCTCAATTGCTTTAAAAAAAAATTCTTGTAGTGACAGCATCTTGGTGGGTGGCTGAGGCTGGCCTCKAACTTGCCATCCTMCTGCCTCGGCCTCCAAGTTGCCAGATCTGCAGGCGTGTGGCCCGCACCCAGCTCTGGATCTGAACGGGGGTCTTTCTCTTTACTAGTTCTCCCTGGGGACTTAGGACCAGCTCAGGAAGGTGCCTGACCAGCTCTGCTGGCTGCTGGCCCGGCCTGGAGCTCAGAGGTGACCGGGAGAAACTTGACCCCTTTACGCAGTTGGCGGGGAGGATGGGCAGGCCCAGCTGCAGGTGGCTGMATGTATTAAAGAGGACAAAGGTTGACCTGTCCCTTAGGGGCACTGGCCACCTGGAAGAGGCTCCCGCATCACGTGCGGGTGGACAGTCCCATCCCTGCAGATGCTCTGGAGCGGGCTGGCCCAGGCCCAGGGGTGAGCATGCACTGGGTGCGTTTCCGCTGTGTGAGGAGCCGCTGGTGCACGGGCCTCTCTGGCCAGGCCTTGGGTGGCGCAGACCCCTCGGCCCCTCCAGGCAGCACTCGGGTGGCACAGGGTGCGCACTGGTCCCTGGTCCCAGCTCGGCCCTGCCCCACCTCCAGACCAGGTGGCCCCCTCTACACATAGGCCCTGGGGGCAGCTCACGAGGGGATGGCCCCGTCTGGACAGGCTGGCAGGTCCCCTGTGGAGGGGAAGCCACAGCTGGGTGCTGACCCTTGCCCAGGGTCTAAGGGCCTGCAGAGGGGACCCTCGCTGGGAAGGCCCACCTGCCAAGGAGGCTGCCAAGGCCAGTGTCCAGATGTCCCCAGGTGCCTAGCCCTTGTCCCTGCCCCTGGCCACACATCTGGCCGGCAGCTTGAGGAGGCAGGGGGAGGGGTCCAGATGTCACCGTGGTCTTGAGCCAGGCCCTGACCCCTGACCGTGTCCAGGAGGGGGCCGGCTCTGTCACTGACCAGCCATGGGACCTGAGCCACGGTGTCAGGACGGCGTCCACAGTGGAGTCGGGCCCCTTCCCCGGGGACAGGCCTGAACGGAGACCAGGAGCAGGACCACCCACTGCAGGGACCAGGCCCAGGGCAGCTGGTGTCAGCACAGTGCTCCACAGTGACCAGCAGGGACCTCAGCCTGACACTCCCGCTTGCCAGTAGCACTGGGGTCCACCCCGGGGCCACTCCTGAGACCCAGGGCACGGGCCTGGCTGTGCTCATCCCGTCCTGGCCTGGTGGCCCCTGGGGTGACAGTGGCAGGTCCCCTGTGGAGCTTGGAGCTGCGCACSGGCCTCAGCGGCCCTCCCAGCCTGGGGTCCTGTTTGGGGACAGTCCTTCTCCAGTGCTCAGTCCCTGTGCTCGTCACCTCTGTGCAGCCACCGCGGGATGGGGCAGGGGGACCCAGGACCGGGCCGAAGGCCACGGTCACACCCTCTGCTTCGCAGTGGCCCTCGGAAGCCCGGGCAGTGGGTCTTTGGAGCTGGTCTCCCCTGCTGGGCGGGGGCCATGTGGCCAGTGGTTGTCACCATGTCCAGACCCCATTGTCCCTGGGCCTGGGGTCACAGTGTTGAGTCCCCATTGGGGAGGACSGTGTCCAGGGAGCAGGACCTGCCACCTCTGTCCAGGAGATGATGGTCCCGCTTGGGTCCCGCCTGTGGGCATCAGAGTGGACAGAGTGGGGGCTGCGGGGGGGGGGCTGCTGGCCCTGCAGGTGGGTGGGCAGAAGGGAGGTGACTGTCCTGCAGGACCTGGGTCCCTCCAGAGGCCCTTCCAGGGGTGCGGGGCCTGCGGGGATTCTGTGGCTCAGCCTGTGGCCTGGGGGGACCCTTGGCCTCCCTCTGGGTCAGGGGCCTTTGCMTCTCAGGGCACAGGGACCTGCTCACACCAGTTTGACCAAAGGCGCTTCCCTGGTCCCCAGCTGCAGCCCTGTCCCCTGGGCAACAGGGCCACCAGCGATCTCCAGCCCCTGCAGGTTCCTGCTGGCGCCAGGTCGGCTCCCAGGGCCACTTCCTGTGGTCAGCAGGAAGTGGGCTCTGTCAGGCCTGAAGCCAGGGGTGAAGACAGCCACTGGGTCATGGGACGCAGCTCGCCAGTGGGGTTGGAAGTCCAGGGACTCCCGGTAGGGACGCTCCTCGCGGGCAGCTCCGACCTGGACAGGTGCAGGGCCTGCTCTTGCCTGGAGCCTGCCATGGCTCCCTCTTGCCCAGTGGCCCCGAGTGGCTCAGGGGCAGGTGGCTGCGCGGTCCTGGCTCCTGGTGGCACTGGACCCTGGGTCAGTGTCAGATGCCAGGGAGGTGTCCCCTGCCAGCCTTAGGGGAGGCGCGGGGCGGAGGCGCAGACAGAGGGGGCTGGGGCGGGCCACTCCCGACACCTGCCAGAGCACGTCAGCCATGGCAGGGCTCAGACGTGGCGGGGCAGCTGGGGACGGCGAGAGAGTAGTGGGGCGCTCAGAACCTGCGGGACAGGGCTGCCTCTGAGTGGCAGGGACGGCGTGTTCCGGGGCTTCCCGGGGCGGAGGAGGGGCTCACAGTCCAGCACCTTCATCTTGCTGGGCGCCCTGGAGCTAAGTGCCTTAACCTCTCTGTGCCCTTATGGAAGTGTCTGTCCGCTGAGGCTTTTGCAGTGGCCCTTCTGTCCACCAGGAACCTTCTTCCTGTTCTTCTTGCTCCTGTTCAGGGCCACCTCCTCAAGCAGCCTCTTCCTGCCTGTCCCTTYGGCGCATCCAAAGTTGACACCTCATCCGGGTCCCTGGGGCATCCTGAAGTTGGCTCGGCCCCGTGGCCAGAGCGCCTCTGAGGGCTGGGGACACGTGCTTTGTGGACAAGCTTGTTGACTCTTCCCAGTGACTGACGTGTGCCCCAAGCGAGCCCCAGAACACAGGCACAGAGAGGTTCAGGAACTAGCCCTAGGTCACCCAGCTGGTCAGCCAGACTCGGCCCCCGGGGCCATGCCCTGGACATCAGCGCTGCCGTCCCTAGGAGTGGCACATGCGCCCTCCGCTCACCGTCCAGTAGCCCTGGGCAGGGGTGGGACAGTGCGGCTCTGTGACAGGAAGAGGCCGAGGGGACTGGGTGGCAGCCGCGGCTGGTCCCGTGGGGCACGTTGCGGAACCTGTGAGGTGTTTGTCCCTTGGGCACAGAGCACGGGGCTCTGCAGGGACAGTGGGCGAGGAGGTCTGCACTGGACGGGGGGCCTCCCTGTGGGAGGGGACACCAGCAAGGTCCCTGGACAGGGGATTCGCCCTGGAAGTGTCTGGGGCACTGGCTGCAACCACCAGGGCCACACTCTAAGGCTGGTCCCCTCAGCAGGAAGCCGTTCAGGGCTCTGCCCTGCCTCTCCAGCCCGTGTCACCTGCCATCCCCCCAGGGTCCTTGGTGCCCGGCTTTGGTTCCTTGCTTCTGCCGAGTCGGGTGGGATCCGTCCTTTCTGCCCTGGGCTGGGGCCGCCTGGGATGGGGACTCGGTCCCTCCTGCCCACCCCGGCCACCCACCCCTGCACTCACACATGTGGGTGCACACAGACGCCCACCTGCCATCGTGTGCCCTCCGCTGTCACCAGGTCCTAAGTCCCTTCTCCTCCCTCCTCCACGGGCCACCCCTGGAAGCCACAGGGGCCACCAGCTTGGTCTCAGCAGCCACAGGCCCCATCTCAATGTGGAAACGGACCCTTCACCCCCCAGAGCTGGGCTCCTGGTCTCCCAGGAGGAAGCCAGCACCTGCTCTGGCCTGGCCCACCATGGCCCTGCCCTCCCCTCCCCCAGGCCCGGTGACAGCTCCCAGGGTCGCCAGTCCCACACCCCCCCGTCCAGGGCCTCTACCCACAGTTCCCAGCCACTCCTGAGCCTGTCCCTCTGTCCCTGCTCAGAGGGGGCCTCTCTGCTCCCCCTGCCTGCTCCTTCGCGGACTCCCTCGGGGGCTTGACCTCTCCCCCTTTCCCACTGTGCCCTGAGCCACCCAGGACAGAGGGACTGGCGCTCAGGTCCCCGATGCTACAGGGCTCTGCAGGGGAATGTGGGCKCGTCCCCAGGAGGGCAGGACGCTGGGCCCCGCCGGGCACCCTGTTAGCACCCTGGAGGGACCAGGCGGTCCCGGCCCTGAGCAGCTGTGGGGCAGGGTCACCCCATGGCCCCTCTCTGTAGGCCTCCTGGGGACGGGTTTCCGTGTGTGGCCGTCCTGGGGTGCAACAGCACAGCCACCTGGAGGCCAGCAGGTGGCTTCCTGCTGTCCCCAGGAGCCGCATACACCAGCGGCGAGGGAAGCGGCCTTCGACTCTGTGGCCACCCAGGGGACAGCAGAGCCCTGCACTCCGCCCACCTGGGTGGCCGCCCGAGGACCTCGGCTGGTGGGCAGTGGGAGGGACGTCCTTGGGGACAGTGGGGTGTGGGCCACACCAGCTCCTCGCAGATGGTCGTCCCCAGCGGGCATCAGCTGCGTGATGGCCTCAGCGACTCGCATCTGGAGTCAGAGAGCCAGGCTGGCCCGAGGGCCCCACCCAGCGGGGACACCATGCAGCTCCCCGAGAGCCCGCAGCCCCCCAGCCCATGCGCCCTCCGGGGTCACACGTGGCCCTTCCCAGTGCCTCACGCCACCTTGTCTCCTGTGACCGTCCTGCCCTCAGCCAAGGCCAGACCTGCCACCTCGGGAGGCCGTGGGCCAGAGGAGGGGCGGCCAGCGGTGTCCCATAGGCCCCCCGGACCCCCTGGCCCTGCCCACAGCCACCAGGCCCCAAGCCCCGTCCCCACTTCCTGCCATCCCTACGGGGCCTGGCCTTCTGCACCTCTCGGGCCTCTTTCCCTCCCGAGTCGTGCAGCTGGACGGTGCTGATAGGTTTGGGTGTTTCCATTTCTTGGTTCCAGGGATTGAACCCAGGGGCGTTTAATCACGGAGCCCCGTCCCCTGCCCTTTCTAATTTTTATTWAGAGACAGGGTCTYGCTGAGTGGCTGAGGCTGGCCTCCAGCTTKCGATCCTCCTGCCTCAGCCTCCCCAGCTGCTGGGATGACAGGCGTGGGCCACGGTGGTAGAAGTCGTGCCCCGCGTGTGCCTTGAATGCTGAGCCCAAGGAGTGGGGATTCAGGGAATTGGCAGGCCCAGGGCCGCTATGGGGACAGGAAGATGTCACTGTCACATGTTGGGGTTGTTGGGTTTGGGTGTTCCGCAGCAGCTTCCTGGCCAAGGGGTGCAGAGAGCTGGACTGTGCTGGGCGACTCTGGGTGTGCGCGGGTGAGGCCGCGACGTGGGGTCACGCTCCAGCACCCTGGAGTGTCCCAGGGCCACCCCAGGCCCAGTTCACTGCTGGCTGTCACTCTGGTCTGGACTCTATGGGCAGGACAGCGTGGCAGGAGCCTGTGGAGGCAGGAGGCAGGAGGTGGCCGTCCCCTCCAGTGGCTGAGCCTGCTCTCGTCCCCAGGAAGCCTGAGAAGGGCGTGCAGTACCTCATCGAACGCGGCTTCGTCCCCGACACCCCCGTGGGTGTGGCCCACTTCCTGCTGCAGCGCAAGGGTCTCAGCCGCCAGATGATCGGGGAGTTCCTGGGCAACCGGCAGAAGCAGTTCAACCGCGACGTGCTCGAGTGAGTGGCCAGGGACCGCTGGGACACGGGGACGCAGACCCAGGCCAAGGGCATGTGCTGTCCCTGCCGTGTCACCACCCCGGGACACGCACACACMCGGGAGTCCCCGGGTGTCCTGGGTGCTGCTTCCCGAGCCTGCAGTGACAGGATCCCGTGCTCAAGTCCCTACGTCAGGTGCCCTGGGGTTCGGGTGGCCTCCTGCCTGGCTTGAGGTGGCCGTCAGACTGCGGTGTGAGGCACAGAGAGCCCCCAGGTCGGTCCCTGGCCCCCACGGGCACAGTTGGGTTTTGTTGTTTTTTGGGTTTTTTGGTCCCAGGGTTTGAACCCAGGGACACTTAACCACTGAGCCCCGTCCCCAGCCCTTTTTCTATTTTATTTAGAGACAGGGTCTCGCTGAGTGGCTCAGGGCCTCACTAAGTGGCTGAGGCTGGCCTCCACCTTGCGATCCTCCTGCCTCAGCCTCCCAAGCCGCTGGGATGACAGGCGTGGGCCACTGCTCAGCTCAACACGAGCAAAGTTTTTTGTGTTTCTTTGGTTTTGGTATTTCGGGTCCCTGGCCGGTCAGATCTGAGGATCAGGGCTCACTTACCTTGCTTGGTCCTCCACACACCCTGCTAGGCGTGCCCATGGGTCTCACGCTGACCCCTCGCCTGCCTCCCTTCKGCACCCTTGGCCTGACTGTCCACCTAGCCCTGAGGGGTCCCCGCCCTCGAGTGACGACATTCCCTGGGCCTCCTGTGTCAGGACCTCCGGGGTCTGGGCCCCAGCTCTGGCTGGGTGTCCTGTATCCAGTAGAGACCGGTGTCCCTGTTGRTGTGTGCCTCATGTCCCTGGGAGTGGTGGCCTGCTCTGTGTCACACCAGGACATTGAGGCTTGGAGGGAGGGGCTGGCCAGGCACCCCAAGCCCACGCGACCACGTGGCCTGCAGCTCTCGTGGGACGCACCCCATATTCCCTCTCAGCCCATGTGGCCCTCAGTGGCCCCTGCATCTGGCCCTGCCTGCTCCTTCAACCAGGGAGCTCCAGTGTCACCTGCCATGGTCATTGTCCCTCTCACCCCTCTCCAACCAGTGGGAGGGAGGAAGCGGCGCAGGAAGAGCAGATGGCCCCTGGTGAGGGGCTTGGGCGCCACCCGCCATGTCCCTGCTGCCCCCCGGCTGGCTTCTGGCCAGGGGAAATCCGGCCATTGTCCTCCTGTCAGAAAATAGCARTGGCTTCAGGAAGCCGCGAGCCTCCCACCACCGCCCCCGGCCTCGTCGAGGGCAGCAGCGCCCGGCTCGCTCCCTGCTGTCCCTCTGCAGCCACAGCCACCCCGAGGGTCCCGCCCAGGCTGCCAGGAGGTCGGGGACGCAGCCACACTGATGGCCGTCCCCAGTGCAGGAGGACCCTGGGAACAGGCAGCAGCTCCTTGGTGGCCCAAAGTCCTGCAGCCCGGTGGCGGTGACTGTGGCCACAGCCRCATTAGAGGTGGCCAGACCCCTGACCATGCCCGAGGGACAGAGGGCAGCTCCCCCACAGGTGGCCCTGCTGGCCACGCGGGAGGGGCTGGTCCAGAGTGGCCGTGGGCCMCAGTCTCCTGGTTCAGGGGTCGCAGGCTACCAGGGCTGCGGTCTTTCTGGAAGGTTCTGAATGCCACCTGCCCGCAGCCTGTTCCCGGGCCCAGGGTCGGCGCTGTGCCCAGGGAGACCCTCACACGGCCYGGGCGTCTTGCGTTGCAGCTGCGTGGTGGACGAGATGGACTTCTCTGCCATGGAGCTGGACGAGGCCCTCAGAAAGTTCCAGGCCCACATCCGGGTCCAGGGCGAGGCCCAGAAGGTGGAGCGGCTCATCGAGGCCTTCAGGTGGGGCCCGGGGTGGACCTTGCTGCCCGCCTGCGTCCGAGCTGCTGCTGGGGTCCCTGTKCCTCCTGAGGGGACCGTGTCTGCCTCAGATTTGCACCTGAGGACTCGAGCAGAGGATGGCGGAGACCCCCCGCTGGGTTCTTGCATCTCTGAGTCCTGGGCACGTCCCCCTCTGGTCCTCTCCAGTTCCCCTTCTGGTCCTCTGCGTACTCCTTCTCCCGGGCAGCAGCTCCCCCCATGGCTCCTCCCCCAGCCCCTGTGACAGTGGCTTGGTTCCCCGTCACCCTGCTGCCTGCTGTGTGACCCCAGGCTGCTGGCTTGCCCACTCTGGGCCTCACTCCTCACCTGGGCAGCTGGGACAGCACAGCCCTGCCCTGGAGACGGAAGCCGAGGAGTCCAGTGCCTGGGGCCCTTGGGGACACCTAGCCCCGCAGCCCACTGGGCTTCCTGGAGGGGACAGCTCCAAGCYGGGTCCCCAGCACGGGGAGGACTGAATCGCAGCTCGTGCCTGTCCCTGCTCCTCCACGATATCATTAGCAGGGWGTCCTGGAGGCAGGGTGGCCGTGGGGACAGTAAGCGTGATGCCCGGCTGAGGCGGGCTGTGAGCGCTCTCGGGGACCCAGTCAGGGCCAGCTGTGGCAGCCAGTGTCCTCCCAGTTCCGGGGAGGGTGGCGCGCGTCCTGGGGACCCTGACCGGCTCTCGTCCCCAGCCAGCGGTACTGCATCTGCAACCCCGGGGTGGTGCGCCAGTTCCGGAACCCAGACACCATCTTCATCCTGGCCTTCGCCATCATCCTGCTCAACACGGACATGTACAGCCCCAACGTCAAGCCCGAGCGCAAGATGAAGCTGGAGGACTTCGTCAAGAACCTGCGAGGTGAGCCGCTGCCACCACGGGCCGCCCCGCCCGGCTCCCCCAGCACCCGCCCCTGGAGGCTCCCGGGTTCCAGGGTCCCCAAGTGGTGTGTGAGCTGGAGCCCGGCCCGGTCCCCTGGCCATTCCCAGCAGCCTCTAGTCCCAGGGAAGGAACCCAGGGCGCTAACCACTGGGCAGCACCCTGGCCCATTTTTATTTAGAGACAGGGCCTCGCTGAGTTGCTGAGGCTGGCCTCCACCTGGCGATCCTCCTGCCTCAGCCTCCCCAGCTGCTGGGGTGACAGGCGGGCATTGCTCACGGAGCTACTCTCTAAACCAGAGCTCCGGCACCCCTTCCCCTGCGGCCAAGGATTCCCCTGGGCACGGTGGCCCGCGGCTCTGGGGTTTCTGCTGGGGTTTAAGGCGTCCTTGCCTGCCCCCTGCTGGCTGTGGCAGGAAAGGCCACGGGATTCCCCAGACAAAGGCGCCCAGGCTGAGGGCTGCGGGAGGGCGTGGCCTGAGCGGTCACCCTGGGTCCCTGTGCTGTGTCTGTGGGGACCTGCAGGCCCCAGGGACTTGAGGTCCACAGTTGTGAAGTCGCGGGGCCAGGCCAGCTCGCCCAGCTTGGGGGTGGTGCCACGTCACCCCTGGCCAGCCGCCTGCTCAAGAGTCCGCGTCCCCGGCCTCTGGGCTCCTGCAGGCTGAGGGCTGGGGAGGCCAYTGAGGGGCTGGCTGCTTCTCCCAGAGGCTCTTCTTGGTGGCATGGGGACACCGCCCAGGTCCCAGCCCTCAGCTCTCACCAGGGGACTGGGACAGTCAGCCAGGTCGGGCAGCCCCGTTCAGTGTCCCCTTCTGTGACCAGGGACCTTCAAGCTTCTTGCTCGGGGTGGAGCAAGGCAGCCCCTAGGAGGCCCAGTGAAGGCCGTTGGTGGCCCGTCCCCTTGGTGTGTCCTCACCAGCCAGGCTGCGCTGGGCCTGYTCCTGAGCTGCGTCCTGGGGACCCCGCTCTGCAGGGGACCCAGAGGGTGCCCTGCTGACCCGGGTGGAGACGGGCAGCCCCGGGMGGGTGGGCGAGGCCTGGGGCAGCTGCAGCCACCCCAGCCCCCGCCGCTCTGACCTGGGCCGTGTCCCGTCCAGGGGTGGACGACGGCGAGGACATCCCCCGGGAGATGCTGATCGGCATCTACGAGCGCATCCGGAAGCGGGAGCTCAAGACCAACGAGGACCACGTGTCCCAGGTGCAGAAGGTGGAGAAGCTCATCGTGGGCAAGAAGCCGGTGAGTGGCGCCCCCAGGTGACCTGTCCCCAGCCACCCTGCTCTCGGGCACTTTTTTTCTGTAGTAGCAGGGATTGAATGTGGGGGCCCTCGACCCCTGAGCCTGTCCCCAGCCCCTTTTGATATTTTATTTAGAGACAGGGCCTCGATCAGTGGCTGAGGCTGGCCTCCAYCTTGCCATCCTCCTGCCTCAGCCTCCCATCCACTGGGATAAGAGGCGTGGGCACTGTGCCTGGCTGAGGCTGGGAATGTTGCAGTAGCCCCTGGCACTTGGGCCTCTTAGCCATCTGCTGTGCGCTGCAGTTGACAATGGGAGGCCACCAACAGTGGTCAGGCTGCGTTGGGCCTCAACTGTGCCCTACCCTGGTGGGACACGGGGGATCTAAGTCGCCTCCCACCAGGTGCCAGAGGGCTCCCCTTGGTGGCGCCAGGGCATGCTGATGCCTCGGGGTTGGGGGGACTCAGGCTCCTTGCCCGGTGGCCTCCGGAGCACTGAGGGCTCTTCCTGCCGTTTGCTGTCCCCGCAGATCGGATCCCTGCAGCACGGGCTGGGCTGTGTGAGTACCCGGCCTCCCCTTCGCCCGCCGCCCCGGGCCGCCTCCCCTGGCCCTGCCGACCCCACCAGGGCCAGCTCCCAGAGCCCAAGTTCCGGCTGCTTGACATGATTCCAGAGGGACCCGGAAGCTTTGGCCCGACTGCCCCGCCTGTCCCCTCTGCTCACCGGGCCACAGCCACTCGGGAGGGTCATGGGTCGGACCAACAGGGGACTCCCCCAGTGCAGCCTCTGCCCCCTCCCGGGGGCTCTCGGGAAGGCCTTTACCCCCACAGGGACCAGGGGACAGAGCTRTGGCTGACCCCACCCCCCAGAGAATCCAAAGAAGGTCTCAGCAGCTTTGGGGACACRTCCTCAGGGGAGCCCGAGACCAGGGGACAGAGCAGGTCCCCAGGATAGAGTGCCCAGGGACAGCTGCCACCAGCCAGGGCCCCTCTGCCCAGTGGGGCCGGGCCCGCAGGCCGGGTGCGGCGGCCTGGGAGGCTGGCGGTRACGGTGGCCTGTCCCCAGGTGCTGTCCCTGCCCCACCGGCGGCTGGTGTGCTACTGCAGGCTCTTTGAGGTCCCCGACCCCAGCAAGCCACAGAAGCTGGGCCTGCACCAGAGGGAGATCTTCCTGTTCAACGACCTGCTGGTGGTACGTGCCGCCCRGGCTGGCCAGCGCGGGCAGTGGGCCTCGGACTCGCGCCCACCTGCTGGGGACCCCGGGAGGGCGTGGCTCTGGGTCTTCTGTGGCAGGTCCCACCCAAGCCACTGCCCGTGACAACAGTGACCTAGGCCCAGGGGACGGGGTGGGCTGTGTCCAGGGCTCCCCTCACCTGGAGGTGGACAGGGCGGGTGGGTGGGCCCCCCAGGACGTCTTGGGTGGTCCCCGAAGGTCAGGCCTTGGCCTCTGGGCTCTGCACTGTGGAGTCCTGGCCGCCGGTCCCTGTCCCCGGGCGTCAGACCCCAGATGCACGCGCCTCACGTGGYAGGAGAAGCCCCGAGGGGACTGGGCCTGGGAGGTGCCTGCCACCTCGCTGCCACCTCTCTGCGGCGGCTGCCCCTGCCACGCCTGCAGGTGCCACAGCTGCGCTCTCTGCTGTCCCCAGGTCACCAAGATCTTTCAAAAGAAGAAGAACTCGGTGACGTACAGCTTCCGACAGTCCTTCTCCCTGTGCGGCCTGCAGGTCCTGCTCTTCGAGAACCAGTGTGAGTGCCTGGCCGCGCCTGCGTCCCCTCGGGAGGCGCTCTCCCTGTCACCTTGAGGCCAGGACCCAGGGTGGGTGGCAGGGCCACTGKCCCTGGGAAAGCAGAGCAGCCCTGGACGTGGGCCCCGGGGTCGACTTGATGTGAGGCCGACGGGCCCCTTGCTAGAATGTTCTGGAGAGCGTCAGCRGTGGCCTGGTGCCGCATCCAGGTGTCCACTGAGCGCCTGCGGGAGTTTGGGGCCGGCCTGGCCACCCGGGGAGCCCTGGCCCGCGCACCTGCTGCCGTGGGTCAGGGGCTGCGGCCTCCGTCCCCRTGGTCCACGTGGTGGGACCTGCCTGCTGGCCTCCCAGGGCCGTGGCTCCTTCCTGGGAGTCCTGGTCACTCGTCGCACAGAACGGCCAGCACTTGGGAAGGACTGTCCCCAGGCCCTCGGAAGGCTCTTGGGGACCCCGGGGCTGGAGGGGTCCTTACATGCCCCTGGCTGAGTCCCCACGCCTGCCCCTCCCTGGCCAGCAGCTGTGCCTGGCTTGGTGTCCCACACATGTACAGAGTGACATCCGTGGGGGCCATCCTCAYGTCACCCCACTAGCACCCCATCCCWGAAGGGTGAYRATGGCCCCTGCACCCTGGGTGGGGACCAGACCTGGCGTGGCCCTGGAAGTGACACCCCAGGGGCCCGAGGCTGTACATGCTGGACTGCGGGTGCTGGCCAGGGCCACCCTACCGTCACCACAGGAACACCTTCCTCTRGGGCCCAGGCTGGCAGGCAGCCTGGGTCGGCCCCCGGCCAGGCGCGTTCTATGTGCCAAAAGAAGTCCCTGCAGAGCACGGTGGGTGGCCCAGCCGTCATCCCAGCAGCTCAGGAGGCTGAGGCAGGAGGATGGCCAGGTGGAGGCCAGCCTCAGCCACTTAGTGAAGCTCTCCGTAGCTCAGCGAGACCCTGGGGTGTGGGCAGTGGCTGGCTTTTCTGGGGGATCAGAAGGCTTGGTGTCACTCAGCGGCCATTCTCACGGGCCAGCAAGGGGCTGCCACGATGTGGCGGTACTGTGCCACGCGCACACCCGGGTGACAGGCACCCACCCCTGCTCAGCACCCCTTCTCTGTGGACTTGATACTGGGCACCGTGACCGAGGGCCTCTGAGGAAGGGTCCCCTCTGGGACCTTCAGGCTGGAGAGGCGGAGGGCTGTGGGGAGTGACCACCCCAAGTCAGGAGCCGAGACTGTCCCCTGCCTGATCCTGCCGCCGCCCAGAGGCCCTCACTCCCTCCGGGCCCTGGGACCTTACTGGCCAGGCCAGGGGACCTGGTGCAGGACACCTGCCCCACAGCGTGGCCCTCTGTCCTCCGCAGACTACCCCAATGGCATCCGGCTCACGTCGGCCGTCCCCGGGGCGGACATCAAAGTGCTTATCAACTTCAACGCGCCCAACCCCCAGGACCGGAAGAAGTTCACCGATGACCTGCGGGAGTCGGTGGCCGAGGTGCAGGAGATGGAGAAGCACCGCATCGAATGTGAGTCCCCTGGGGACCGCACGGGGCGGGGCTGCCGACCACCCCCAGCCCCTGCAGGCCCGGCCACCCCACCGGGAGGCACCCAGGGGCCAGCGCCAGCCTCCTGCTGGGTTCGTGGCTGAACACAACTCTGGGGCCAAGGCCAGTGGCCTCCTCTTGATTGGACATGCCAAGCGCTGGGTCACAGCCAAGGCCATCCCTGGACTCCAGGCCGGACTGACTTTTTTTGGTACCAGGGATTGAACCCTGGGAGCTGAACCTCTGAGCTGGGTCCTCTTCCTATTTCTGTTTCAGTTTCTTTCTGTGTGGCTGTGGGTGGACACGGCACYTTTATTTTATTTTATTTTTAAAATATTTTTTAGTCATAGATGGATGCAATATGTTTATTTTGTCTATTCATTTTTATGTGGTGCTGAGGATCGAACCCAGTGCTAGGCCAGTGCCCACCACTGACCCATGTCCCCAGCCCTATTTTATATTTGATTTGAGACAGGGCCTCCCTAAGTTGCTGAGGCCGGCCTCCAACTTGYGATCCTCCTGCCTCAGCCTCCCAAGCTACTGGGATCCCAGGCCCTGTGCCCTCTAGGTCTCCTCTGTGCTCACAACTCTCTCTGAAGGGTCCTACTGAACCTAGGCTCATCTCCCAGAGCCCAGCCAGCCCTGGCCTCACTGCCCCCAAGCCAGGCACAAGCCCTTCTGTGCTGCAGGTCACAGGAGAGTGGCTTCTCCGTCACCCTCCGGGGGTCTCCTTTCTGCCCAGTGCCATGGTGACAGCCATCCTTTCCAAAGACGGGCCCTCCCTACCCTGGTGAAGCTGGCCAAGCAGAGGGTGGTGGGTGCCTGTCCCTGTCCCCTGGGCTGCCGTCCTGTGCTGGGCTGCTCTCAACCGGGTGCTGACCCTCTCTGTTGCAGCGGAGCTGGAGAAGCAGAAGGGTGTCGTGCGGCCCAGCATGTCCCAGTGCTCCAGCCTCAAGAAGGAGCCGGGCAACGGGGCGCTAGGCAGGGCCTGCCTGGACGACAGCTACGCGGGCGGGGAGGGCCTCAAGCGCAGCGCCCTCAGCAGCTCCCTGCGCGACCTCTCGGAAGCGGGTAAGGGCCCAGCGGCGGTCCCCCTTCCCAGCCCGCTGCGTGCCACGCTGAGCCCGGGGCGGCCGCGCTCGGTATCCAGGAAGGGCCTGCCCGGGGCCTGCGAGGAGCGCTCCGGGGTTTGTCCCGATTGTCCCCAGACCCGAGCAGAGAGGGCATCCTAGACAGGTCCCAGGTGGGAGGGGTGGCTGGTGGGGCCCGGATGCCGCCCCGTCCTCCTCCTGGGGTCCAGCTGACCCTGCTCCCTTGAGACCCGCTCTGGCCAAGCAGGCAGGCCACTGTCCGCGCGCTGTGCTGCCCTCTGTGCCGGGTGCTCGCGGGGGCGGGGGGAGGGGACCCCGCTATCTGTCTTGCTTTCCCCACGGGGACCTCTTTGTGGGACGCCCAGGCTCCTGTGGGACACAGAGCTGGAGGCGGGCGCGCCAGGCCCAGGGCAACGGGGAGCCTGGGGACACTTGGGGTGTGGCTATGGGGCGCTGGCCACCAGCCCGTCCCCTGCTAGTGGCACCTCGGGCTCCCAGGGGTCCTCTCGTCAGCCGGCTGCCCAGGGGAGGGCCGGGGCTCGGGGGCTGCTCGGGGGGAAGCCTCATGGGCCACCCGCCTGCCTCCCGCGGCTCGGGGTGACCGTGTGCTGAGTGGCCTTCTGTCCTTTGCTGTCGTCTGTGGTCCATTTTTCGTGGTGAAATCTCAGAACTCATCGCAGCATGAGGCCGGGCCAGGGCTTCTCAACCTGGTCGGCTGACCCCGGGCAGGGCTTCCTGGCCGTGGCCATGTTGGGCCTGGCAGGGGTTAGGAGTGTCCCGGCCTCTGCCACTGGACAGCTGTCCTATGCCCCGTGTGGGGACCGTAGCGCCCCACGGGGCCGCGGGGGCAGAGCCACCCTGGGTTGAGAACCGCTGGCTTGGCCAGTGGCCGTGTCCACCCGACTCCACTCTGGGGACTGCTTGGGGCGCCCGCAGCGGCGGGCCCGGCTCTGGGTTCGCGTTTGTGCAGGGCTCGGCCGCCCTCCCCGCCCGACGCCCTGGCCAGGCCCCACTCCAGGCCCAGCGGTCACCAGCACAGCTGCCCATTGTGTGCCTGTGCTGAGAGATCAGCCAGCCCCCTGCCCGGGTCCCCTCCACGAGAGGGCAGAGGGCAGCCGCCCTCGGCTTGTTCCTGTGGTCATTGCTGTGGCCGCCTGAGCTGACGTCGTGAGGCCCCTGGCCTGTGGCGCGTGACGAGCCGGGACAGATCCAGGACGGGATGTGAGCGTCCGGGCCCAGCCTGCRTCCAAGGCACCAGCAGAGGCCACCTGTGCCATCCAGAGGGACACCAGGGCGGGCCAGAGATGCCCTTGGAGCCGCTAGGGAGGAAGATGAGCTGCGGGTGGCCGGGGACTCTGCGCCCTCCCGGCCCTCGTTGAGCCGAGCCTGAGCCAGTGACAGCAGGACGCRCCGCGGAGCAGAAGAGAGTCCTTGGGGACAGCCTGTGGCCACTYGAGAGCAGGGGACCAAGCTGCCACRCATATCCACCCAGGAGATGGCCGGGCCTGGCCTYGCCCAGTGTGAACCTGGGGCGCCCACGAGGTGGCCAGTCTGGTGCCCGGGAGGCCTGTCCACAGCCACGTTGGGTGCCTGTCACTCACCTGGCCCCTGTTGGCCACGTGGCGCCTGTGTTTTCTGTAGCCCGAGCTGGCTCCAGGCCTGGTGGGGCTGGTGGTCCACCTCAGGGCGGGGGGACCGGGCCTTGGCGCCCGCACCCAGAGCAGCCACGCTGTGGAGGACACGATCGGGGCCTTCCCACGGAGGGGACATCTCTGGGGTCGCAGTGGCTGACCCCAGGCACCCTGCCCTTTACCAGCGCAGCCCCATCAGGGAGAGCTGACCACCCACGGCCACTGGTGTCAGGTGGCCAAAGCCACGTGAGGCACCTGGGGCGGAGCCAAGCCTCCCTTTGCCCCACAGGACATCCAGCAGGGCCTCGGCACTGTGTCCCCTCTGCCTGCCACTCCAGCTCTGTCCTGTCACGTAGGGTCGCCCAAAGGGAGGCCAGGAGGAGGCTTGTCCCCTCACAGGTGGGGAAGTGGAGGCCAAGCCGTGGAGTCAGGGGCAGGGCTTCATGTCCTGGACACTGAGGTGGGCAGGAGCCGTGAGCCACCGCCTCCTGGCTGAGAGACGAGGACCAGGGTCCCAGTGGGTGCTCCAGGTCCCTGTAGCAGGGCAGGAGTTTCCTGCCCTAACCTGTGGTGGCCTCCTGTCACCCCAGGCACCCACCTGGCGCTGGGGCTGGCCTCCCAGCCTTGGGACTCCCTCCCGTCTGCAAAGGATTGTGGCCTGCRCCCTGAGATGCCCACGGCACTGTCCCCACCATTTCTGGGTCCCTCTGGCCCGGCTGCGAAGGGCAGTGGGAAGGATCACCTCAGAAGCTGGCACAGAGACTGCCAGGGCCCTGGCACAGCTTGACCTGGCCGGCTCAGAGGCCCWGGAGCCAAAGTGGACACCGTGCATTTCAGCAGCGTCCCTGGCGGAATGGAGCCCGTGGGTCCCACCAGGGCCTTGGTCCCCTGCTCTCTGACATGGACAGAGCGCCATCACAAGGGTCAYGTGTCCAGCGTGGTGCTTGACTCGCGGCCGGTGGCACACACAGAAGCACTTCGTGTCCCTGACCACTCATTGTCCTCGCTCCCAGAGGCTTGGGACATCCTGCAGGAAGCCTGGGAGAGGTGTGTCCCTGGAGCAGCTGGACTTGGGCCTCCAGTGTCCCTAGGAAGACTTAGCTGTCCCGCCTCAGCCACACCTGCTGAGYATCCACTGGGTGCCCCGGGCTGGGGACGAGCCAGGCACATGGGGGACAGAGGCCTCTCGGCTGGGAGCAGGCTTTGCAGCACCTGGACAGGGCGCCGGGGACCGGCCGGCCGGAGGAGCGTCAGTCCCCAYCGCTGGCCAGCGGCCTGCACAAACCCGAACTCGGCTGGGCCAGCAGTGGCTGCACCGGGATGCAGGGGATGCGGACCTGCGCGTGCGCACTGGCTCCCAGAGCTCCGCGCAAAACCCGGCGCTGGGCGTGGCCACCTGGGCCCAGGCCTGGGCGCGAGGCGCCCGCCCCATCTGTGCCCGCAGGACCCCGAGGTCGGCTGGCTGCAGACCCCCCTCTGTCCCTCCCGGGGCGCCCCAGCGCTGTCGAGAGACCCCCTGTCCTGGCCCAGGCCGGCAGGTGCAGCCCGCCGGCTCAGCTGCGTTGCTAGGGCGGTGGCGGCCAAGGTGTCCCTGGCAGGCGGGCAGGCGGCGCCCGGCCGGTGCCTGTGGTGTCTAACCTCTGGTATTGCATGTTCTGGGCAGGGAAGCGAGGGCGCCGCAGCAGTGCAGGATCGCTAGAGAGCAATCTGGAAGTAAGTAGGAAAGACCCCGTCCAGCCGGCTGTCCCCTGTCGCCTCCCGCCCCGGTTTCTCTCTGTTGTCGTTTTTTTCTTTTGGCTCCCCCCACAGAGACGCGGCCACGGCCCCTGCCTGCCTGGGCCCCTGCATGCGGCCTCTGCCCGACTGTCCCCGCGGCTCRCGCTTGCCCACGGTGGGGGGGCTCGGAGGTGGCGTTTCTGTTCCCGCTTCTCCCCATCCGTCCCCGTGGTCCCCCCGCATGGATAACCCGTCCCGGGCGCCCGCCCTGTGGTGTCTGTCTCTGGCTTGGCTTCGCGCTCCATGTCATCGCTTCGTCGCGGAGTGTCGCTGGCCGCGCCGCGGCGGGACGTGGGCTTGCTTAGCTAGCTCGGGGGCCCGCGGGCTGCGCGACAGCGACAGCCGGCCGCTCTGGCCTGGCGGGTCCTTTCCCCCGGTCCCCACCCCTGCTTGGTCTGCAAGTAGGTAGCGGCAGCGAAGGGCCTGGGCAGGCCACGCCCCCAGGACGAGGCCCCACCCGTCCCCGCGGCCACCTCCCCGATCCCCTGCAGGGGCGCGGCCCCGAGGTCCCCGGGAGCGGAGGGCAGCGTCAGGGGAGCCGGGTCCCGGCCCGGCCACGGACCCCAGGGCCCCGGGCAGGCGGCGCGCCACCACGCAGGGCAGGGCCACCCCCGCCCGCAGCCACCCGGCCCGGCCCAGCCCGCGCTGTCCCGCACGCGCCCTCCGCGGCCGGCAGGGAGGCGACTGTCCCCTAACCGCTCTCTGGCTTCCTCGCAGGGGTCCGTCATTAGCAGCCCGCACCTGCGCCGGAGACCGCCCGCCCGCGAGGGCCCGCCGCGCGCGCCCGCGCCCGCCTCGCTGCTGGGCTCGCTGTTCGGCAGCCGCCGCGGGAAGCCCCCGCCCCCCGGCCCCGGCGGCCCGGCCCCGGCGCCCCCCGAGGGCCACCACGCGCAGCACTGCCACCTGCCGCCCAACCCGCCGCCCTACCACCACCACCACCACTTCCACCCGCCCGCGCACCTGCCGCACGCGCACGCCTTCCACCTGGGCGCGCACGCCGGCCACGCCCCCTACGCGGCGCATGCGCACGGCCACCCGCCGCTGCCCGCCGGCCACGCGCACGCCGGCCACGCCCACCCGGGCCACCACCACGGCCAGCCGCCCGCCCCGCCGCCGCCCGGAGGCGGCAAGGCCAAGGCCAGCGGCATCAGCACGGTCGTGTAGGCGGCCGGCGGGGACCTCGACGGACCGGCCTCGGCTGCGTCCCCCGCCGCAGCCCAAGGCGGGACCCCGCCCCGGCCCCGCGCCCACGACCGCGGCGTCCCCGCCGGGCGACGAGGACCAGGCAGCGGACCCCGCGGGCGGCCGGAGGACCGTCCCCGGCTCGCCGCGTCGCGCCTGTCGCCGGCCAGGGCGAGACGCTAGGTAGGCCTGAGCGGGCGGCGACAGTCCGCACGTAGACGTCACGTAGTATCAACCTATAAATAGACGCGACACCGCGACACCGCACCCCCGCTGTACAGGTAGCTGCGACACCGCCCCAGCCCCACCCGCCAGGAAGCGCGCCCCGGGCCCGAGCGACAGGTGACAGTGGCCGGCACCCGCTCGGGCACAGCGTCACCCACTGGGCCGGGTGACAGTCCTGGGTGAGCCCCGCCCGCTCCGGGCGACCATTTTATGGACGGAGCCTCCGCAGTCCCCTCAGGAGCCGGTGTCCCGGGCCTCCGCCCCTCAGTCCCCCGGACGCTGTCGCCGGCCGCCGGAGCTGGACCTGAGCGCGGCGTCTCCTCCAAGCACAGCCCCCCGCTCCTCCAAGTCCCCACGGGGCGCCCCGAGAACCGCCGCCCGCCCCCTGTCCCGTCCCGGATGTCACCGGCCGCCCTGGAGGTGCCCCCAGCACCTGCAGCAGGGCGACCTGTGTCCCCGTGTCGTGGCCATTGTGACTCCATGTGCTCGTCCCACCCCCCCATGACACCACTGAGGCCGCCCCGTGACCCCCGCTGCCACCTGGTCCCCAGTCAAGGGGTGTCCCCACCTGGCCCTGCTCTTGTTGCTTCTGTTTGCTGGTGACACCTCGGTCCCTGGCGCCAGGGCTGCGCCTGAGTCACCCACGGCCTCCTTTCCAGTTCGCATCCCTGAGCCTGGGGACAGCGGGCCACCCAGGGCCATCGGCTGWTTCCTTTCCTGTGCCCCTGTTGTGTCACCGAGGTCACCCACTGCGCCATCCCGTGCCCCCTCTGCCATGTCACTGAGGTCACCCACTGCACCAGCAGGTCTGCAAAAGGAGCTCTGCGTGGTCCCTGTGGCCGAATCCCGCAGACAGGGCCCCGTGTCACGGCCACTGTTGTGACAGGAAAGTGACATGGGATTGCATGTCCCCGGTGCGTGGCTCTGTGTTGCACATCTGCAGAACCTGCCCATGCTTCTGTTGACAAATGGCCCAAGTGACAACATTAGATGTCAGCTTTTCTCCTCCATCTTTCCCAACCGAGGGTCGAGTCAAAGGGCACCTTTTAGATTGTTCCAGAAAGAGACATGGCAGGGCCACGTGGACGCCCAGCCTCGGCCTCTCACAGTGTCCCCTGCGCTGGGTCCGCGCTGTGGCGCCAGGACAGGCCTGGTGACGGCGGCTCCTGAGAAASTGTGGCCTCTGGTCCCAACCCCTGGGGCTCCAGTGTCACCCGTGTCTTCTCAGATGTTTCTGGAAGGGTGTCACCGGGCTCAGGATGGGGGTCCCACTTCTCAGACCCGGTTTGGGGAGCATGAGCCACCAGCAAGCTGCTGTCCCCATGTCACATTCACGAGGCTGTGGGTCCCCACCTGTCACCCAGCCATGGCATCATGTCCCCTGGGGTGGGAGCAGGTGGCAGACCTGGGGCAGCCACGTCATCTCTCTTCACTGTCACATTGGGGACACACGTGGGACTCGAGTCTCAAGCGAGCGGAGCATGACCCCCTCGGGGACACAGCTGGCCACGTCACACAAAAAAGACAATCTGGGACGACGATGGGATCATGGATTTGTATATTTTTTTTAAAGTTTCCACACGAGCTGTACAGCCATGTAAAATAAAGCCATCGAATACCCGCCGCYTGTCACGTCATGGCCAGGGACGGACGGCCGGCCCCCGGGTCCCCTGGGTGAGCTGGCCTCGCGGGGTCCCTTCCCATTGGAGAGATGGCAACAGACCCCTTGGATCTTCTGGGGACCACGGGGGAGGCCACCTGGTGTGGAACCTGCCCGCACCCTGCAGACCTGTCCAGGAACAGAGCCGCCACCTCAGCCTGGTGACAAGGAGGCCTGGACTGGAGCAGGGACGGCAGAGTAGAGGGGACGCACTAGGAGAGCAGTCACCTCAGCTGCAGCCCCCACCCCTCAGGGAACTGAACCCTGGGGACAGGGACCTGGGKAGTTCCAGAAAAGGCTGGGGAAGTCCAAGGGACCAAAGGGGCCACCAGGAAATGTCCCCGGGGGCCTTGGAGACAAAGGGAAGCAGGAAGCAGCAGCCCAGGCAGGGGACCCAGTCAAATGAGGTGCTGTCCAGGGATCAGATCTTCTCCCTGTAGCAGACAGATGGGGCGTCTCTGGGACACAGACCCAGGGAACCCACCCAAGCCCTGGCCCTTGGTCCAGGAAAATCCAATAACATTGGGGGGGAAAGGGGGCGGAGCTTAGCTGGGCACCATGCCACACTCCTGTCCTCCCAGCAGCTCAGGAGGCTGAGGCAGGAGGATCACAAGTTGGAGGCCAACCTCAGCCACTTAGGGTCTGTCTCAAAATAAAGGAT